CCGCTGTTAGATAATACATATAATTCAAACTGACAACATCAAGATTTGACCATATCAATAGTTTTTATTCATCAAAGTTTTTTTTGATACAACAATAATTTTGGTACAACAATAATTCATCATGTAAACCCTTAAGGGTGCCCCGCGTACCCGTGTCAATGGTTACCATAGTAACCATAACTTTGTCAATACTAAGTCGCTTGTCCAGAAATTTGGATAGAATAAGGTCAGTTATGTGTTCACGGGTAGTATCTAAAGCCCCGCTATGATTTAAAAATTGCGAGCAAGTTCCCGCTGAAATCGCGAGGAATAAAAATAAGTCATGGGTTCTTTTTTGTGTTCTTGAATTGTATGATTTACAAAACGTTTTCTTTTAATTTTTCCCAATGATTACATGGTATTGAGACTAAAAAAGCAACTGCTGGAAAAAATGTATCACGAGCGGTCGTTCTGTGGTTCGTTATTTGTCAATTGAAGAGAGAAAGTATCTTTTTGAATCTTTATCTATATATTTCTATACGTTATTGGTGAAGAACGATGTTGTCCTGTGGTTGAAATAACGATAGTGATATGAAATAAAGATGTACCGAGTTTAAATTCCTAAAGCTTTACAGAACATTTTATATTTAAATTTGATCATATCCCTCAAGGCCCCGCTTCTAGCAGGAGCAATTAAGCAAAGATCCCGCTGAAATCAGGAGGAGGCCCCGCTGAAAACATGAGGAGGTCCCGCTGAAAACAGGTGCAAGTGTCTCTCAAAAATGGAGTGAATCCCGATTATACCCTGGAAATTTCCCACTTTCGTACCCACCTTGATCCACTATTGTACCCAGTTTGATGAATACATTATTTGTCAATACAATTCTCAATAACAGCAAACACAACTGTTTAATATAGTTCATATTATGATACATTGTTATGGAAAACTGCAGTATCATATTTCCATGCCATTTTACAGAATAAGAAAGATCATCTGAGAAATGTGATGAGTATTAGATCGGACGAAATGTTAAACATTTAACCTCATTTTCATAATTTGAAGTAATATAAGATATTCTGTATTCTCTGTATTGCAACTGTCCCCTCTGTTCCATCTTTGAGTACAAGTCGATATTCAGTAAGATACACGTATAAGCGTGCGTTTAGGTCAACCTAAAATGATTTAGTCAGAATAATGTTTATGAATATTATTCCTATATCAATCTCCTGTTGTTTACTTGCTTGCTCGCTTCCTCCCTTCCTTGCTTCTTCGCTTCCTTCCTTCCTTGCTTCCTTCCTCGCTTCCTCACATCCTTCCTTCCTCGCTTCCTTCCATCCTTGCTTCCTTCCTTCCTCGCTTCCTTCCTTCTTTGCTTCCTTGCTTCATTCCTTCCTTGCTTCCTCACTTCATTCCTTCGCTTCCTCCCTTCCTTGCTTCCTTCCTTCCTCACTTCCCTCCTTTATTTCTTGCTTCCTTCCTTGCTTCCCTCCTCGCTTCCTTCCTCACTTCCTCCCTTCCTTGCTTCCTCGCATTCTTGCATCCTTCCTTCCTCGCTTCCTTCCTTCCATCCTTGCTTCCTTCCTTCCTTTCTTGCATCCTCCCTTCCTTGCTTCCTCACTTCCTTCCTTCTTCGCTTCCTTGCATCCTTCCTTCCTCGCTTCGTTCCTTCCTTGCTTCCTTCCTTCATTGCTTCCTCGCTTACTTCTTTCCTCGCATCCTTCCTTCCTTGCTTCCTCCTTTCCTTGCTTCCTCCCTTCCTTGCTTCTTTCCCTCCTTGCTTCCTTGCTTCTTTCCTTCCTGACTTCCTTCCTTCCTTGCTTCTTTCCTTCCTCGCTTCCTACCTTCCTTTCTTCCTCGCCTCTTCTTTTCTTGCTTCATTCCTTCTTTGCTTCATTCCTTCTTTGCTTCCTTCCTTCCTCGCATCTTTCCTTCCTCGCTTGCTTCCCATCTTGCTTCCTCACTTCCTTCCTCCCTCGCTTCATTCCTTCCTTGCTTCCTCGCCTCTTTCTTTCATCACTTCCTTCCTTCCTTCCCTCCTTGCTTCATTCATTCCTTCCTTCCTCGCCCCTTCTTTTCTTGCTTCCTTCCTTCCTTGCTTCCTCGCTTCCTCCCGTCCTCGCATCTTTCCTTCCTCGCTTCCTTCCTACCTTGCTTCCTCGTTTCCTTCCTTCCTTCCTCGCTTCCTTCCTTCCTCGCATCTTTCCTTCCATGCTTTTTTCCTTCCTCGCTCCCCTCTTTCCTCCTTTGTTTCCTCGCTTTCTTCATAAATTTCGTCCTCACTTCCTTTCCTCCTTCCTTCCTTGCTTTATTCCTTCCTTCCATGCTTCCTCGCTTGCTTTCTTCCTGGCTTCCTCGCTTCCTTCTTTCCTTCCTTCCTTACTTCCTCGCTTCCTTCCTTCCTCACTTCCCTCCTTCATTCCTTGCTTCCTCCCTTCCTCACTTCCTTCTTTCCTCCTTCCTTGCTTCCTCGTTCCCTTCATTCTTTCCTCGCGTTGTTCTTTTGTCGCTTCATTCCTTCCTTGCTTCCTTCCCTCCTTGCTTTCTCGCCTTCTTTCCTTACTTACTTCCTTCCCTGCTTTTTTCCTTCCTTCCTTTCTTGCGTCTTTGCTTGCTTCCTTCCTTCCTTGATTCATCGTTTCCTTCCTTCTTTGCTTCCTGGCTTCCTTTCTTCCTCGTTCCCTTCCTTGCTTCCTCAGTTCCTTCCTTCCTTCCTCGCATCGTTCCTTCCTTGTTCCCTCGCTTCCGTCCTTTCTTTCTTCCTCAGTTCCTTCCTTCCTTGCTTCCTCACTTTCTTCCCTCCTCGCTTTCTCATTTCCTTGCTTCCTTCCTTCCTTCTTTGCTTCCTTGCGTCCTTCCTTCCTCGGAATCTTTCCTTCCTCACTTCCTACCTTGCTTCCTCGCTTCCTTCTTTCCTCGTTTCCCTCTTTCCTTCCTTGCTTTTTTCCTTCCTCGCTCCCTTCTTTCCCCCTTCTTTGCTTCCTCGCTTCCTTCACAAATTTCTTCCTCACTTCCTTCCTTTCTTCCTTCCTTCCTTGCTTCATTGCTTCATTGCTTCTTTCCTTCCCTCCTTCCTTCCTTTTTTCCTACCTTGCTTACTTATATTACTCCCACCTTCACTTCTTCGATTTACTTCCTCCATCCCTTCTTTATTTGCTTGCTAACTCAATTACTTACTTCGTTGCTTGTTTACTTCCTCACATCCTTGCTTGCTTTCTTGATTATTTACATTCTTTCATATGGCAGTGGAAAGACAAATTTTGATGAAAACCTGCAAACGAACAAACGAACGAGGAAAGAACGCAAGGATGGACAGAAGAACAGCCGAAAAAACAATGAATGAACAAACGGACGGATAGGCGGCCAAAAGAACGCATGAAGGAAAGATAGAAGAAAACAATTTACAAAAGATCGAACCCACGCACGCAAGAACGTAGTTACAAACGAACGCATGAATGAACGCACGAACGAACGAACACACAAACGAACGCAAAAAGAACGAACAGACGAACGCACGCATGAATGGACGGTTGAACGAAAGCACGCACGGACGAACGGACGGCTAGACGGACGAACCCACGAACGAAAGGGCAGTCAGACGAAAGCAAGCACAAACGGACGGTCAGACGAACGCATGCGCACACAAACGGACGGACAATCTCACGGATGCACGCACGAACGAACAAATGGACGGTCGGACGAACGCTGCCACGAACGCATGATTGGGCGATGCACGCACGCACGAACGATCAATCTGTCGGATGAACGTACGCATGAACGAACGGACCGTCGGACGAACGCACGCACGAACGAACGGTCGGTCGAATGCACGCACGAATGAATGGTCGGACAAAGAAACCAATGAAATATATTTGTCCTCAGAAGTATAATCCTTGGAATAGTTAATTATGTAGAATGTACATTTAACTCCGAAATGTACAAAGTCTATTTACATATAAAAAATTGATCATGCCGCTGACAGATGGAGTAGACTGCCTGAAGTTGAAGAAGAAATATTTTTGATGTTGCCATAGAATGATATGTTAAGTGATTGTCATTAATACGTTATTTGCACATTCGTGTACGTTCATATAAAGAAGCTCACTATATTCATGGAATAATGATGAAGCTTTCCTCGTGATCGAAGCGGGTAGTCGTGAAATTTGCTTGTGTTTTCAGCGGGGTCTCCTCATGTTTTCAGCGGGGCCTCCTCATTTTTTCAGCGGGGCCACTCGAACACCTTTAATGATGTATTTCGACCCCAATGGCAGGTGTCATTGTCCAGTAACTTATCAATACAGACCATCTTGATCCGATATTTATTATGGAGTATGTAAATCGTATTTATTGCCTTTATTTTAACGATAAAGGTAATATATGAACAGTAAATTATGCAAACGTGCATGTTTCCTTCATGCAAGTACAAAATAATCATTTTTCATGTCATTTTTTGTCAAATATATCTGTTTTCAAAGTTTTGCTGGAGTATCAAAGAACGGTAATAAGTATTTTCATCCTTTTGGTTCATTTTCCAAAGTGATACAAATAAACAGGACTATGCTCGCGATTTCAGCGGGGACTTGCTCGCGATTTTTCAATCATAGCGGTGCTTTAGATATTACCCGTGGTGTTGCTTATGTTGTAAGAGTTTCATGAAGAAATATGCAAGATAACAAAAGTTATAACAAAATTAGCAATACTTATTGAACGCCCTGTATGAAATAATTTTGTTACAAAAAATCGGCAAAAAATTATATCCGTTTTTTTATTTTCACTTTTGAGCAACACCATGTGAGCCCAGTACCCACGGTACTAATTTTTAAACTTTTTTTGCATTGAAGGCCCCTTGTCCCTCCCCCCCTTGTCCCTCCCCCCCTTGTCCCTCCCCCCCTTGTCCCTCCCCCCCTTGTCCCTCCCCCCCTTGTCCCTCCCCCCTTTCCCTCCCCCCTTTCCCTCCCCCCTATCCCTCCCCCCTTTCCCTCCCCCCTGTCTCTCCCCCCTGTCCCTCCCCCTGTCCCTCCCCCCTGTCCCTCCCCCTGTCCCTCCCCCTGTCCCTCCCCCTGTCCCTCCCCCTGTCCCTCCCCCCGTTCCTTCCCTATCCCTTCCCCTAACCCTCCCCCTGTTCCTCCCCTCCTTATGGGAGAGGGGGGACAGGGAGGGTCAGGGGAAGGGACAGGGGGGGACAGGGAGGGTCAGGGGAAGGGACAGGGGGGGACAGGGAGAAGGACAGGGGGAAGGGACAGGGGGAGGAATTTTCCCTGCCATGGGAAGAAGGCGTCTTACAGGGTTTGGGTCATTGGCTACAGGAGTAATTTTGGAGAGTTGTCTATATAGGTCACATGTTTCCATGGACAACTCTCCCAAACCACCCCTTTACCCAATTTGACTCTCCCTGTAAACCACCCTTTCCCCATGGACAAAGTTTTCCCATGGACACCCAAACAGCCAGACACGGGAACACGAGCAATGACTAGATCCAAGTCAAGTTCCAGAACACCTCATTAAACAATCATTGGTGTTCTGAGCTATGAATAGACCCCAGTCAAACTCCAGAACACCTCATAAAACAATCATTGGTGTTCAGAGTGTCCCCATCACCCTCCCCAGTGGACACCCAAATCCCAGACACGAGCAGTATCAGGTCAAAAGACAAGGTTGGTTTTACCCAGCCACTGTCAGTGATCCGACATATCAACCATGTCTAAGCTCTGCCCAGCCTGACACAAGCTCTGACTAGACCCTAGTCGAGCTCCAGAACACCTCATAAAACAATCATTGGTATACTGAGTTGTAGGCTTAACATAGGACTGTTTCGAGACAAGGTAAATTCAAAATTCAGAAGTAATGGTTTTAACTTTTTAACTTTGGGATATGTTTTTCAGCTTTTTAGTTAGAAGCACTGAAAAATATAATAATTAAAAAACACATAATTTAGCATTGCAATTTCTGAATGTGATGAATCACTTTATTTGTTAAAATGTAATAGGATTGATTTAATAATATCATTTATTGCTTGCTTGGTCATTCAATCTGGGTGATTTAGCAGGGTACATGTTTCTTGTATCAATTTGAAGAGGTGAAGAATTACACTAATAAACTTGTTCTTAAATTGGCTAATTTCATACTTTAAATGAAAGTGTCAAAAATATCCAATAACTGAGTGTACAAATTGGTTGGAACTTTTCTGTATTAAATATCTAAAAGGAACATTTTGCATTGAAAATCTTCAGTCCTGAACAGTAAACAAACTAAAAAGTAGGTACTGTGCTGTAATTTTTCACTATTGCAAGTTAGAATGATTCAGATTGAGATTGATGTCATTGATATGTTACAAATTGTATATTTAGACTTTGCTGCAAGGGAATTCATGGCTGATTATGTGCCTTTATTTGAACCTACTTAAAAAAGAAAGTTGTTGTACAATTAATATCTAATTAAACTCTAAAGCTACGTTCACACCAACGGTGAATGCCACGCTTTAAATCAGCGAGCAAAGCGCCATCATTTTTGTTTACCTTTCCAAAAATATCACGATCTTCTTAGTAATGTTACGCTTTGATAAGCTCTGATACGCTCTGATTTCCCGACTTGTTACGGTTCCTCACGCTTTGATCCCATTTCAACCAGGCTTTGTTACACCTGAAATCACGCTTTGATAAGCATTATTACGCTTTGATGCGATTATGACGCTTTAGATCAGGCTCTGATACGATTGCCAAGCTCTGTTGTGCATTGTTACGCTAGGTTAAGCTCTGTCACTCATTGGAAAATGTCGAGATCGCCGATTTCATGCCTATTTTGATCCAATGACTATATAAAGATGGAGTAGATCCATAAAACCATTGCATCTTTGACTCGAGAACACGATGGCAGAATAACAAGATCCAGAAATTCCAGATGGACCAGAGCATGACCTATCTGACGAAGACAGAGCGTGAGAGACTGGATGAAGCTTGTCAAGCATAACAAAGCATTTCAATTCTTGATTAAAGCGTCTCAATTTGTTGGAAAGCTTGAGAGTCCTTCATGAAAGCGTAACAAAGAGTGTCAGATATTGATGAAAGCGTCTGACCTCGTGTCAGATCTTCATGCCAGATCGTAGCAAATCTTGAGACATCTTAACGAAGCGTGTCAAGTGACAGACCGTGAAGAGACTGGGGTCCCGCTTTGAACCAAGCTCTGTTAAGCTTTGCTGAGCTTTGTTATGGTTTGTTAAGCTTTGATACGCTCTCGGTGCTTTAATCAATTTTGGCGCTCTTGCCGAATATCCCGCTTTACTCCGAGCTTTTCTACGACCTATTACGACCCCGACACTTTAATCAAGCTTTGTTACGCTTTGGTGCCGCTTTGCAAGCCGCTTTAAGCGCCATCAAAGCGCCGTTGGCGTGAATGTAGCTTTAAGGTCAGGGTGCATGTTCGGAATTTTTTGCAATCCTCAATAGGTCTCATGTTATTTTTCAAAGAATCACTCCTTCCCCACAATGTCTACATGTCTCACTTTTGCACAACGAGTGCACTTAAATGTACCTTGAATGTACCTAGAAAAGAATATAGAGAAGAATGTTTTGATAAATGTATAAAAACAAGAAAATTCAGTGAAAAAATTCAGAAAATTTTCAGAAAGTTTTTCACTGAATTTTCTTGTTTTTTATACACCAACAAGTGAAATCAGTTCAAATAAATAGAGTTTCAAAAAGTTACAATTTCCTAAATTTTCATATTTTAGTGAATGTAAAGAAAGAAGATTTACTCACTTTTCAAAGCTTTTTACCTCTGTTATCCAGATGAATTTTTGTTGTCCATAGAAAGAACAATAAATTCCCTTGAGAATGACCCATATAAAGAATCACCCTCCTGACTTGCTGTAAAACATATTCACCATGGTAATGAGTAATGGATGAATGATAAAATAGGTTTTTATGGTGGGATTTGCTACTCTGTGAAGTTGCCGTTTTCTAGTTATGTTATGTGGTGACACATGGTTATATTTGTGGAAGGTGTTCAGGGTTTAAAACAAATGGTGCCTGTTACAAATCACATCGGTAACAAATGGCAGGTAGTGACATTTTGCATGTAAGGGGAGTTGCCTTTTTTCTAGTTAGTTTTGCAACTTAGCTATTCAGTTTTGCAATTAACAATCGAATCTAGAAAGTCACTGATAGATGGCCATGGTCTGATCATCTCGCATGATGGCCTTTTAGTAGGTTTGACATTTGAGATTATATAAACTGGTAGTCTGGTTTCTGTTTATCACAGCACCTGCCTTATCTTCAATAAAACTGTTTGTTACTGAGCCATTAAATCTTTGAAGCAATTGGGCAGAAAAGGAATTATGCATGGTGTACATGGTCGTAATAACATATAGGTATTCTAGATTTGATTTACTTACTACTTTATACAAAAAGAATGACTCTAAACACAATTTGCTTCCGGTCATTTCCAGATTTACACCTATAATTGATCAGAGACTCGGGGATGAGCAATGTGTGACGACAGCTGGCAAAAACCGCAAAAATGGCATAATTCATATGAGTTGCACCTGACAACATGTCCAGTAATCAGGTAGGTCTTTAGCCTTGAATAGATCAACCAACAAAGGTGGTTTTTACCATTAACAGTATACTACCTGGGGCTGCATCCTGATTATGATATATACATTAATTATGAAGTATACAATTTGACAAAAACAGTTCTTCAATGTCCCTTTGTGTTATTGTCTTGGATTGTGATATTGGTACTTGGATGGTCAGGGAGGGAGTATTAGGCATTCTTTCTTTTCAAATTAGATTATGATTTGGGATAGTTGGGGTTTGTTTTTCTTATGATGTTTTCATTTTCTTGCTGTGTTCTGTAACCATTTTAGTACTTTCTCATTGGCACGTGTGCATTTATATCTACTAATATAAGATTGACACAAACCATTCTTTGGTGTTAGTCTATTAACCTGTTCTTGAAAACAATGATCTCCAGCATTAAAGGAATCATGTCCTGTAATTAGAATTTAAAGGAAATCGTGAATAGGAATATGGATATTAAATTGCTTAGACTGTATTAAACTTGTAATATTTGATGTATTTTGGGTGAACCTGTTAAGTCATGATCAGTTATGTTGGAAGATAATGTTGATACATGTCCAAGAGATTATGTTGAAGCTGGTCAAGAAAAGTTCAACACACATCACTGAATGTCCTTATTTCATTGGTTTCGATTGAACCAGTATATACAGATTTATGAGTGATATCAATTTTATCCATGAATGGATATGATATCTGCTACCTGATATCTACACGAGTGGATTAAAACCATTTTATCATTAAAGCTTAGGATATTATCTTTATTTCATAGTTAAAGTGTATTTTTCATGGTGTTCACCTCAAAATCTCTACAAGAAATAAATAACAATTATTTGTATCATGTTAAAGCTTTCATTAAAACAGTAATATGGTATTCATACATAGCTAGGCAAAGTGTGTCCAATTACCCAGATGCGAGTAGGTAGTTACCATTTTCACCACCAGGTGGCTGATTCGGGGTAAATAACATGACAGGGTATTACAAAATTCCCTTAAACTTGAATATTCCTCAGTTTTAGTGGTTCCATTTTCATATTACCCTTATGAATCTGATCGTTATACAAATTAAAATATGTCCAGTAAAAAGAAAATATCTGTCCAATATAAGAAAAGATATCTCACTTTTTGTGATTTTATAACATGGGGTCTATGGGGAATCTCCCTGACCTAGAAGTCACATTTTCAAAGAAAAGTAAAGTTTCAAAGTTGATTTAAACACTTTTTGAAATCACATTTTTAGATGTAGTTTACATGTACATTTCATATATGATATCACTTTGACTGAATTTTGAATTTCTAATGATGTATATCAAAATCATTTCTACTTGCATCTAATTTATTCCAGCCAATCAGAACACGCTATTTCACGTAGCTGCATTTCATTATATAACCAATAACAAACTCAAGGTCACTAGTGAAACGGATGTCATGGTGATGACAAATTGAAATTGATACTTTGCCAGCTTGACCCTTGCAAAAAGTTTCATTGAAAATATGTTCTTTCAGTGATTTCGTATCTTTTAGATGATTTTGTAGAAAATATTTTGCAATGTGTGAAAAGAATTTAAGCCCAAGACTTGTGTAATGACCATTACTTTCAGGCATTGTTTCCTTAAATTAACACTCAATGCGCGGCATTTTGTGCAAATTTTGGGAATCAACAACTCCAAGGAATGGTCATTCCACATTACACTGATTCTAGGGCTTAATAAAATATTTTTACTAGATAAATGACTGAATGGTCAGTCAAATGTAAATAGTTAACAGTCATACTCATCGAAGATTGTGATTGTGCTTGGTTATTACGAGATTCTTTAGAATCATCTAAAATTAAATCATTTTTTTAAAATAACTGTCAGCCTTGAGTTAAGTAGCCAAAATCCATTATCCAGATACGGTGCTGTGTTCTATAGTTAAAAAAACAATGTTTAATGGTTTAAAATTAGTGAAAATTTGCCAAAATATCAAATTTTACCACTGATACCAAAAATACCATTTTTATTATTTTAACATGATATCCTATGAATATTAATATTTATCCCATGGTTGCAAGGATATAGATCGAATATCACACGAAGATATATTTGATATGTGGATCAAGATATCATATTTTAGCAAAAAACTCACAAACCATCGAATATCACTTTTAAACTCTCAAATATCACGTCTTAAAAAGTGATATTCGATGGTTTGAAAAGTGATATTCGATGGTTTGAAAAGTGATATTCAATGGTTTCGAATTTTTTCGTTTTTTAATTACACATATTTTCAAAAATATTTTTCAAAAATTCAAAATTTCAAAAACATTTTTCAACATTTTTCCACAATTTTTTTCAATTATTTTTTAAAAATTTTTCTCAAATTTTATTTTTCAACTTTTTTCACTAATGATGATTTCCCATGGGATAAACGGACAATCCCATGGTTTTTCAAAAATATCAATTATATCTACTCATGGATACAAATATCTTCACTCATTTGCTGCGCTCACTCATGAAGATATCAATATCCACTCATGGATATAAATGATATTTTTTTCAAGACCATAGGATATTCCTATAGTATGTATAGGATATCCTATGATTTTGAGGGATATCATTTTTATCCACGAGTTGATATCAATATCTGGATGAGTGAGCGTTGCGAATGAGTGCAGATATTGATATCAATGAGTGGATTAAAATGATATCACGAAAAAATCATAGGATGTTCTATTTATCCCATAGTTAAGGTCAAATCATCCGATAGTTCACCTTACTATTTCAAAATTTCAAAACAACATTTAGTTTTATTTTGTCATTTGAACTACAGTATTCACCTTTCCCCAAAGTCAGCTCATGAATATTATAATTAGCAAACCTGAAATCTCTGACGTCGGAGTAGGGCAGATTTTCGCGGGAAAATCTTAACACATTAGAAGTCAATGTGAATCGTGACAGAAACGGGTTAATTTTATTGTCAAATTATGTTGAGTAGTTATAATATTAATGATAAATGTCATGGAATTTAATGATTATACTCACGTCTATATTCCTCCTTCTTTATATTGTTCTGGGGAATCAAATGAATAGAGTGAAGAGTTCAATGTTTCCTGTACATTTTCAAATTAAGCCAACCGTACAACACTCCATGTTTAGTTCTTGACTGTCAAAATGTCAACATCCCATGGTAATCTTAAGTTCGTGTAATATTTTCTGATGGGATGAAGAATGGGGTACAGCTTAACCTTGAAGCAAAAGTATTCGACTCCCAAATCTGGGCCAACAGTGCGTTACTTTCACTTACGTCCAGCCATCTATTATACCCATATTACAATGTTACTTTTATGTCTGCCGAAGAATTTGACAATGGTTACTTGAGTGATGATAAGGCCGTTCATGTATGCTTTGAGACAATGTACCAGAGTTGCTTGTTTTACACACGATCATCTATTTGAAGAGACTTATCTCTTGAAAGGCCCATGGGCGTTCTTTTAAATATCGAACTTTTTAGAGAACTTTCGTGATATTTTTGGACGTAGACCTACAAGAGAGATACTCCGGCAATTCAAGCTCGTTGTCAGGATTTTCCTGCGGGGGCGGTTTTACCAAGGGGGAGCTTTTTGACACTTTTGGCAAAAAAATCATGCGAAAAGTGCTCAGAATGGTGAAAAACTGCATGATTTTGAAAGAATTTCTGGCCGGGGGGGGAGAGCGGCTGCTCCTTCAGCTCACCCCCCCCCCCCCCCTTTGGCTACGGGCCTGTAATTAAGCTTAGAATTGCAATTAAAATGCAAACTACTACAGTATGATGAATATTAGTTACTTCAATATTGCAAAAATACATGACCAATCGCAAATTATTTTGGCAATCCGATGAAAAAATGCAAGTTGACTCTAACATTTAAAACTGTTTTTCATAGTATATTCCTAATCCTATCATTTATTTTTTATTTTATTTTTATTAGAACCATAATGAACTATTTAATTAAATAATCCTGATTAATGTATATTCCTAATCCTAATACAGTCTTATTGTTTGAATTAATGTCAATCTTTGTATTGGATTCACTTTGTTAAAAGACTAGCACTCGTATCACATTTATTTCTATGGTTTGATTTACCGGATGGTGTATTAAGACACAGCTTAAGGCAAAATAGTCAGAAAAATATATTTCACTTTGTTTTGTTATCATTTTATAATGAGATCTATTTCACTCACTCGGCGATCTAATAGCAATTGAAGTTTTGGCGCGAAATGTGCCCTGCTTTGACGTCATTGATTTTCATCGACCAATCAGCGCAGCGGTCAAATGAGTACACTTTGTACTTTGGGGAAAGGTGAATAGCAAAAACATTAATCATTTCCATATTTGTGAAGTCATGAAATCACCATGTAAGCATATAACATGCAACCATATAACAATGAACATCACATTGGCGGGAGTTTTCAAATCCGTGGAAAAAGTGATATCTGTGGAATATTCTCCGTATTCCACAGATATCGCTTTATTCCACGCATTTGTAAAATATCAAAAATATATACGTGTTATTCTACAGATTTGACCTCAACTATGGGATAAGATATGATATTTGTTAGGATGTTATGTTCCCATTCAATTCCAAATACTATGGGTGTCTATAGGTGGTGAACAGCTGGGTGATATGTTCAAATCAGTTTCCAAAATATTGTACCCTTCCCACAGTGACATATATACTTCGAACAGTACTTCACATTAAGGTTTGGGGCAAAATGTTGTGTGAAGTACCGATCAGTTTAGATCACATCCATCTATTTCATATGCCCAAACATGGGTGGGTGGGCCGGGAAAATATGTCAATTACTAACTACTGTGAGTTAATCAACATATACAAACACTCACAACACCTCCACCAGCAGGTACAAAGTCCCTTCCACGAATCCACAAATTACTCGATACTGATTGTACTTGGTTTTCATATAGATGTCACTGTGGATAGTACCCTTCCCACAGTGACATATATACTTCGAACAGTACTTCACATTAAGGTTTGGGGCAAAATGTCAGTTGCGTATGCATATACTCGATATATCATGCATCATGATACAATATGTCACCACTTCTGGTGGTGACATAAAACTTCTATTCTCTTCTCTCCTCCCAATACTTAAATAACGAAAATATTTTACTCTCATTTATAACTTTATGATTCCAAACTCAAAATTAACATAGTGACATAATTAATACATTTATTTTACAATACATCACATACACTATTACAAAAAACTTTATACAATTTATGGCTGAAACGCTGGCACAGATTTAGTATGTTGCCTAAAAATATTTTCTGGCTCGTCATTATTTACAACAGCTTTTGCCAATCTACTGGATACACTCTAGCTCAGAATCTTTTAGCAATCCTACCCATGTATAATATTGTACGCTTTCATCTGTGAAGCAACCTACGTGACGCATCACCTCCGAGGAGGATGTTGCAGCCCCGGAAAGTACATGTACCATTGTTAATGCACATCCTGCCCTCAAGCTATGGGGGGGGGGTCTCCCCTTCATCCAAACCTAACGTTGCTAGATAATATTTCAGACGATCATGAATAGCATTATACTTCAACGGTTCCTCCAATATTATACCCGAATTTGACATTGGCCAAAAAAGATACCCAACTGATAAATCCACCCCTTCACTTTTCATAACTTTAACATAATCTTCTAATCCCTTTACCAGACACATAATCTTGTCCTCACATTTTCTCAAGACAAATATGTTGCTCTTCCTCCACACAATGTTTTACCAAAGCTTAGAGAAATACAGAATCCTGAACCATCGCCCAGTTTGGTTATTTCCTGAGATTTTAAATGGGATAAACCCCCAGCCCTGTCACCCACTAGAAACTGTAACTTGAAAAACGCCTGGTCTAGATCTCTCAACAAAATGTATCTCAATGTATTGCTCAAATCTATAACCTGTAGCTCTCGATCAATAAATCCAATGATCTTCCTAATTTTTAACCTGAATATGGGTTTTGCCTGTTTAGGAATAACGTGACCTTTCTCATGACCCTCTTTCAAAATCTTTACTTACGTACTGTTTAACATAAGGTAATCTGGCAGGATTCCCATCACCGAGAGTACAATTCCAGGATTCCCCCTCCCAATAAGGAAGAATTCTCTAGCTAACTGATGTACCATACCCTCTAACGTCCCCGATGCTAATCGTGTAGGGCAACAATAATGTATATCTCCCTTGAGCTTTTCCCCCAAAAATGCACAACTTGGCTCATAAACTTTTGTCTTTCCAAACGAATCCTTGTACACCAAAAATCTCTTCACTTCATTTGGACCCACACTATGAGCGCGATACATCTAACCTAATACAAACCAAAAATGTCTGAAATGTTTAAAACAGCTTTGTTGACTTCCTTACATATCCTTTTTCGGACGCATTTTTCTCAATTTCCTTAATTCTACCATCTATTTCACTTAGATATATTGGTTTGCCATCTAACCATGCCCGAAAGCATACAAGACAGGAAAACGTTTGTTCATGACATGGACACTCTGAATGCCCACAAATTGAATTTCAAGCCATACTGATCTTTAATAAATCCCCTTTTACTTGGGTACAACAGTGCCTCCTTTGAGCCGATTCCTGCCAAAAATATTTTAGACACAGGATACGTATTTAACACTGGCCACCAGGGATCTAATGAAAATCTCTCGGCCACAACAATAGTATATCTTTGAACCTTTCTCTCAACCAAATATCTTGTAACTGGAAGTACCATACAGAAAGGAGGAAAGACATAAGGATTAGCCTCAGTCTCTATCTTTTGACTGAATACATCTACCCCCGATGATTTCGGAAGCGGAGACGGCGTAAAATGACGATCGACCAAACTATTGGAATCTAATGACATGAGATCAACTGAATGAGGCCCAAAATTGTGTTCAATTATCGCCCAAATTCCCGACTGCAACATTGCGTCCATGTTTGAAAGCCTTCTTGAAGGCATATCAGCGGGATTGTTTGTTGTAGATATTCTGGACAGACTTAGATCAATATTCTTTTCTAGACAAACCATGAAAAAAGATTTCAATATGTCATTCAATTCCAACGATTTACAGCCACCATTATTCCACGACTGGACTACTAACTGGTTATCAACCATGATCCTGACTATACAATTCTGCAGTTCACGCATTCATGCATTCACACTGTTTAAAACAGCATGTGCTTCTTTAAGATGGATTGGACGGGAGTCGTCACCTTCCCAATAATCAGATATGACACCCTGATTTCCTTGTCCTGGAATTGACTCCCCTAGAACCAGGCCATACGCATATAGTGAAGAGTCCGAGGCAAGAACCAGATTTTTGTGACACTCTTTTCTCCAGGGAACATACCCTTCCCCAATCTTCCAAAGACTTCCAGTACTGAATTTCTCTAAATAAGTCATCAGACATTTCGACCAATTTACTATTTCTCATTGCTTTAGAAAGTGAATTATTTGCTACTTTTGTATACATCTTGGTCCCTGGGACTACCAGTATCATGGAGATGCATTAACATACCCAGCGTTACAGGACCCTGATATCAACTTTTTCTTTGATAGTATATAGGACATGAATTCCAAACAAAATCTCCTTATCAGTTGGAAGATGAAAACACATTGGCTCGGATTCGATGAAAAAACCAAGATATCTCAAACACATTGTAGGCTGAAAATTACACTTTCGTATAGCTAATGTATAACCAAGATCTGACAATATCTTCAAAAATGGCATAGATTGTACATCTTTGCCTGAATTCAAACTCTTCTTCCACTTCACTGGGTTTTCTATTGACCACAAATGGCCGATCATCAACGTATTGCATTGTGCATATTTGGAGGGATCTCAAGTATGAGGTAACCACCATCCCGAGTGACTGATGATATACATACGGACTCAATTTCCAACCAGATGGGATAGTTCTATATACCATGACCCACTCCCCAAACACAATCCCAAAATACATTTGAGAACTCTCAGACAGCAGGACATGGTCATATCCACTTTTATCGTCACAGCTAAACAATACAGCACCCCTATCGACCATTCTTGGCACCTCCCTAAGTCTTTCTAATGTAAAAGGCATGTCCCTCATCCATAAATTGATATAACGGTCATCGTGGCATAAACGTGGTTTTAACGGTTCTACTAACAAAGGCATGACAACATGTGGCATTTGGCATTCCCAAAGCCTTCCCAGAAGTTTAATAGCACCCGTTTTTATTTTATCTTCCAATGTTTTAGCTATAAAAATAAAATCCACAAACGGTATACAACTTTCAGCATTTCTAAAGAAATTTCTTGGGGGTGTATCACTATCATATGCTTTCCCCTTGAAAGAGCCCTTAAAGTGTACAAAGTATTCTGAAATGTCCACTCCATTACACAACCAGTTCATAATATTCGGATCATTCCCCAGATAATCTATAAAGAGATTTTCCCATTTCTTTCTAAACACTAAGCTGTGTAACCTCCCTGCCACAAACTATTTAGGATTCCAAATAGGCAACTTACTATAATCAAACTGGCTGACATAGCCATCTATAACATTTTCTGCAGATGGTAAATGCTCACGAACTATGCGTGGAGAAATCTCATCACCATTCGAAAGTTTGGTTGATTCTGACGAATTTCTTATATCCACTAAACCAGGATGGAAATTAGCCTCTAACTCCCATTGAGGTACACATCCTCTGCTAAACGAACTTGAATCACTCTACAGGAAATTAGTCAGACATCACTCACCCTCGAATGATAATGAAATTTCTACACACATAGTCCGCGTGAAATAATTTCACTAAGGATCAGTGTCCCATGGACTATACATGTAGTAACTTCAAGATATAACTATATACAACTAACAAAGTAAACGGTATGCCTTTAACAAATCAGTCGATCTGAGTATTTGGACGCATACTTTGATACCCCCTTAAAAAGACCATGGTCCTTATGCTTTGTCTTCTTTGCCAGTTCAGTCAGATCGTACAATCTTGAAATCAATTCAGAGTTGTTAACTTCCTTCTGCATACACCTTCTTCTCCTTTTTCTCCTTCTCCTTGCCCTCCAGTTCTTCTATCCTTCTATCTTTCTCTTCAACGATGCTAGATCATTGTCTGCAGACGGTGGCGTCTCCATTCTTGACGTCTTGCTAGACCCCGCCGACGTACCTGGAGTCGCCTTTGTCTTTGCTGCCACCTATAACACATTGAAAAATGAATTAACATAACCCCTCACAACCTAAACATATTTGAATAAACTCACATTACTCATGTATGATGTTTTGAAACGTGTGACGATACACAAATTATCTCCCTTTGCCACTTCTCATTCTAACAAAAACTAATCTATACATTGTACAGTCTTCTTAAATTTTAAACGTAAACGTACACATGTGATGTTCTTTGATCATGTACATTTCAATTTCTATTCTCACTCACCGAGATCTTCTGTCCCTTGGGCTGACCTTTATCGTTAGCCAATAACACCGCTATATTAATAGCATTCTTCTGTTCCGCTTCCGTTGCTGTCGGTTTCCCCGCCATTGCCAACAGTTCACCCAACCCTAGTTCCTCACAAAGATTATTCCAGTTTTCTACAAATAACAATAACTCAGTATCCTTTAACGTAGACTACACCTTCATTGCACAATAGTGATGTGTAAACGTTGTCGAATTACCAAATAAAATAAATACGAAAACCAAACATATGCGTCTGACTACACCATCATGCTACTGGTAGAACGTTCAAATCAAGCAACAAATCAAAACAACGTACAATTCCTCATGATAACATTTCAACTAACAAACATAATTTTTCCGAAGAAATCTTTTCAGCTCATAATAAGTATGGGAAGCGAGTATACACCCGTACTCTAATATATCTCACTGTCATCCTTTATGTATTCAAGTAGTCTTACCTTCCAACTGCGCCATTGTCATGGAGTGTACGTCAACTCCGCCTTTCTTAACCACTTCTGGTTCCACATCCCTCACCCACTTTATCGAGGTGCACAATAAATCCGCCCGAATTTCATGCCTGTCTTTCAGTATTGTATCCTTTGCCATTCTCTGCAAATATATTTCAAAGTTATGTTTTACCCGGTATTTCATCCTAAACATCACAATTCTTATTCTTCCATTGTGATATCTAAATATACAAGTCGTATACATCTGCCAAATAAGCTTTGTATTCAAGTTCCATGTATATAATCTAAGAGTATCTAACGATAACCACGCAAACTTACCAATATCACAATCTTGAGCTTTCCTACAAAATCATGAAACTCGTGTATCAGCGTGCCAAACATTCGTGTCTCATTCATTGAATTTACTCACTCATGCCAATTACTATATATGAATGAATACTCCCCTCCAACCAATGAGAGTCGTTCCTTTTGTGCGCAATAATTACTCAATCAACTCAACTCAACTCAATCAACCCGATAAGTCCTTGAGATTTACACCACAATATTGACCTCGTATTATAACGCAAACAACCCATCCATGCGTGTAAATACCAAAATATTATGTCGTCCCAATTTAGCAAATTACGCACCCAAGAACAATGCACGATCTCCAAGTTCGTGCCATTATCATTGTTGCCTCAAAGCATAATAACTCTCTCTCAAATTCCAAACATTGTGCCCTTATGCACCTATTCGCTATGTCCTTACCAAACTGAAAACATATCTACCCTCCCAAAGGGTGGATGCCCTTATGCATCTCTTAGCTATGACCTTTCCATGATTCAAGCTTCCCAAAAGCAATATCGCCCCCAAGGCATATATCTCTCCACACTCCCAAAGCGTGTTCAACCTAGAATGCCCCTTATGGCCTCTAAAATTCCATGCATGCTTCCCAAAAGCAATATCGCCCCCAAGGCATATATCTCCACACACTCCCAAAGTGTGTTCAACCTAGAGTGCCCCTTATGGCCTCTAAAATTCCATGCATGCTTCCCAAAAGCAATATCGCCCCCAAGGCATATATCTCTCCACACTCCCAAAGCGTGTTCAACCTAGAATGCCCCTTATGGCCTCTAAAGGTCCATGCGTGCTTCCCAAAAGCACGGAGGGCCGTCATACCCTCAAAATAAATTTTACTCACCAAGCTGCCTGGAGTACGTCCTTCACGTTCCAAAAATTACTCGATACTGATTGTACTTGGTTTTCATATAGATGTCACTGTGGATAGTATGGATATCATTATATGCCAATATGTATATTTAAACTCCATTTTGGTTTCTTTATCCTCAATACATTTTGCTAGTTAAATGCTGTTAAACAGTTCTACCATCAACAGTGTACCATTCCCAAACCACTTGAGCTGGAATTTTGAGGTTTCCTGTATGGAAGGAGAGCAGTAAGTTATGGTCAGCAATTACAGAAACTAGATTGGGATTAATGGCTTCAGCTAATGAAGCTCTCAAAGATCAGTTAGGTTGCAAACAAATCAATGAGATGTGCTGAAATGATATAGAGAAAAGATTCCAATGTAATAGGTCTAAAGGATTATGGATAAAGTGTTGGTGGGTTCATATTTGTCATTTAGTTGAATTTGTTGGGTGTTGCAAATGCATCAAATCTTCTGTACTTGTATCTCTATCCTTACCTGTTGTATTTAAATACCCCTAAAATGCACCTGTGCACATGTACCTTATATATCTAAAAATACCTAAAATATACTTGTACCAATATACCAAGTACAAGGGTGGTCCAAAAAAAAGTGAACCCTTGCAACGGGCTATATTTCCCTTATTACCCGCAGGAATCCCTTCATAGTTTCACATGTTGTAGAGGAAGGTCTAAAATTTTTATTAGTACTATACATTTTTCTTAGTATTGAAATTTGCAGAAATTATAAGCCCTAACTTAACATCACTGAAAATGGGTAAAATGTGAACTTCATTATCTGCGATTCTTCAACCCTTCAACAATATTGCTGTAGATATGTTTTTAGCTGCTGCCTGAAAAACCTAATGTTTTCTGACTTTGTTTGGTTTTGAATCCCACACAATATGATGTAAAAATTAGCATCCTACCTCTGTTAGTTGCAAAGTTATTGTGATCAAAAGAAATGTTCATTGTTTCCAAAGTTTCCATGGACCAATTCTCATGAAATATGGCTCAAAACACTGAATATTAGATTTCCTTTTGATTTTTGTAAGATTTTAAATGAAGGGCTTCTCAGATTTTGGGTCACAAGGGGTAACGTTGCCTCCCTCTACCCGTTTGTGTAAGTAACATGCCTCTAAACTGTTGAATGGTAAAAACAGCTTTAAAATGGTCAATAAAAGTGTGAAATGTGTTTTCTGCTCAAATAGTGTCCCATTTGTCATATGGTAGGGTATAAACTTATAATCTCTCACTGAAAGCTTTTTTAAGATCATCTAATGTGTATCAACAATTTCCGTCAATCACACTGGTAAAATTTTGCACAAAATCGAATTTGAGGCATGTTTGTTTAAGTCTTGTAATTTTTTCGAAATTCAAGACTGAGAATGAATTTCTCTACAAGATGTGATAATATGAGCAAATTCATGCATGTATGAAGGAAAATATAGCCTGTTGCAGGGGTTCACTTTTTTGGACCACCCTATATATTCCTGTTAAGTCTAAATACCCCTAAAATGCACCTGTATAAATGTACCTTATATATCTAAATATACCTAAAATATACTTGTACTAATACCTTATATTCCTCTTAAGTCTAAATACCCCTAAAATGCACCTGTGCAAATGTACCTGATATATCTAAATATACATAAAATGCACCCGTTCTAATGTATCTGATATACCTGTTGTTTCTTAATTTACCTAAAATGCACCATTATACCTGATATGCCTTTTGAATCTTAATATATGTTAAATGCACCTGTACAGGCCTAATATACCTGTTGTATCTGTTTCTGCGGAGTTGAACAGTGGTTTCAGTCCCCATTCTGCTGTATCAGATTCAGAGCCCTTCTTAACTACATGCATAGGTGCACCTGATATTAATGTGTCTGATAAGCAAGTACCAAATATATTTAATATACAAGTATACCATGTAATGATAAACAGACAAAACAAACAGTAATACATATATAAGAAACTCTTTCCACTTTATTGAATGAGCTTTAGCAATTCAATTTAAATAAATATACTTCTTATGTTCTAGAATGTCTATTCAATATTCAGAAGGAGAAGAGCCGCACGATTAGTCTCAGTGTTCTGTAAAGTATAATCTCTTCCTCCAAGTTTCATCAATTCTAAATCCCCCTTGGTCAAAATGCCTGCTTGCTCATATATATTCTATTCATTTCATCACATATATTTAAATAAAGTATGTGGCTTTCTTATATTTCTATAGAATTTAGAATGCAGACTTCTTGTCTCTTCGCTCTATTTCTTGCATTTCCTCATCTCTTATTATGAAACATTTTAGAACACAACTCCCATGACATTTCATTGACAAGAAAATTGATCTAGACCTACCATGTAAGTCTTAATTGAGAATTGATTGACTATAAATTTTCTTCTTTAATCCCAGTTCAGACCTTTTGGAAGATATTATTACAGAAAATTCAATTTTATCTTTCGTTTATTAGATATGAAGCTCTGTCTGATTTAAATTCTCTTATAATGGAAAAGCCTTGATTGTATGCATTTGTGAAACCTTATAGCTACAATATTTAGGAAAAATTTTCTTGTTTTATCAGATTGCTAAAATGAAATGAATTTTCATTATGTATATGAATATTGTAAAGCAACTAGTATGGTACAATATCCAAAATGTCAAATTGGTTACAAAAGTGGGGAATAATCATTCTGATTTATCAGAGCCCCTCTTTACCTAGCGCTTTTGAGAACTATTCCAAAAGGATAGTAAAGGCTGTGGATCCCACAATGATGGGGAATAATGTATTTGAGTATTCCAGCCTATAAGTCAATTAAATCATATAATTTTAATATTTCTTTATCATTGAATATCTTTATAACTGCTGTTATGATGTACATCATTGTCAGTGAAAAATCAAGGAGTGTTAAGAATCATAAGGAAGCTTTCCAAACAAGTTGTTAATTGCACTATTCAGAGTGAAAGGTGTTCAGCTAATTTTATAACTGTCAGGGGAGAAATGAAGAGAGTTTTAATTATAATCTTCAGAGGTTTTGTGTACTTTACTTTCATGAGTAAGCACCTATGTTGTAAAATTGATGCAAGATAATGTACTTTTATAGGGAATTGGATTTATGGGGTGCCTTATTAGAAAATATAAAACCTACACAGCCAATCTCCATAGGGTACCATAGACTAAACCATACTGAACAGTACCGTGAACAGTTTATACAGAAAATGGTACTGTACTGTACATACTATTGATGCAGTGATACTATTGATACGGTACCATGATTTCAGAATGCAGATTGGGGGTATAATGAAATGTTAAAATTGGTTATCTTCAAGAATATGAAGAATAGCATCATGAACCACAACCAGAGGTACTTTTAATATTAGTCTATTTAGTATTTTCATAAAAGTATTTTTCTTTGAAAATACATGTCGCACAAATCTAGTACACACTTGGTACACAACATCTGGTAAGAAAACTGACCCATGTAGATAAGTTAGGGTTGGCTTACAAATTGAGGCATTTCCTAAGACTGTGTGTCTGTAAGTGTCTTTGTGTTAAAATCTATCAAAGAACCCAATATTGCAAAGAGTTCATACTGCAAAGTATAATATAAATTGAGAGTTATTTCATCCTATTACTACATCATGAGCAGAGGGAAGAGTGTTCCCTGAAGGTTCTAGATGAAACAGTCATCATAGCTATAAAATCATGATAAATATGCTCATTATCCCAATAGACTCACTTATATTAGTGCTTTATCAATTACACCACTGTCTATTTGGTCAATTGTAAGTAACTCATGTCTCACCCCTGCATAAGATCATATAAGGTCGTCACGGAGTGTTATCATTCAGTGGAGAATTGAGAAAAAGCAAGGAGTGAACCAGATAAAATCAATGTGATTGTGCTAACGTATTGAGATTGCAATGAAACATACTAGACTTGATTTGCCAAAATATATAGAATGTGTATACTTAATGTAAGGCCAGAGCATTATTCATAGCAGACTGAAAGAATTCTCTCTAGAGTTTTATTACTGCACAGTTATGTGTTATTGAACACATCTGCTACAGAAACAATTGCAAATTCATAAAATATATCTTATTTGAGATGTTGGCTCTCTGAGGTTATGTTTGGTCAGTTGTTACAGTTTAGGTTTAATATTCAGTGACGTAATGCTCAGAGCATCTCTTGTTAAGTTAGCACATGTAGAAGGCAGTTGAGCAGATTGTATCATGCAGCAGAAATATGTTATGTTGTGGTACCATAACATGACCTATTGTGACATTTCTGTAATATAACATTGACTACCCCAAAATGGAAAATACCATAAAATGTCTTTGAGAGCTGGGTTAAATGTGTGAGTAATAGTAGAACTGGCACCTCTATTATTGCAAATCTAGAGGAGCATCCCTTAATTTCCTCATTGTAATTTACTGAAGCTTTGGGGCCATATTTTTGTGAGGTCCTTCACAATTCCAGTCTTCATCTAATTTCCCTAATTGAAGAACATTTTACAAGCATTAGAGAACAGTTGTCAATGTCTTCATGGTTTAAAATTCAAAATGAGTTGTTTTTGAAGTAGTTTCAGAGGACAATGTTCATTATATTGCAAAAGAAATGCTAGAATATTTCCCAATTCATTCCAAGTTTAATAAAAACCACAAAAAAGTCTGAGCAAAAGTAATACTTTACTAGGGATGCTCAGAACTGTGAATGTCAGCTATCTTTCCTCAGGATATGATATATTTTTACCATTGACTTTTATAATTTACCACTTCCTAGTGGTTTCAGAATACTGTTCCAGATTATTCCATTATCCTTTGGGTGTAATCTTAATTTTGAACTGTGTTTTCAAGGAAATAGAGCATTGCTTTCTACAGGGTGGGCCAAAGCCAAAAAAAAACGCCACTTTTTTTCAAAATGCTATAATTTTTTTATTTATTTAATTTTTGATATCAAATCATAATTTGCATACCAAATGAAACTTGAGGTTGTTATCCATGGATCATGAATTATACACTTTTACCTGAATAAAATGAGAAATAAGCATAATTTGCAAAATGTTCCTGAACTGATACGGCCTGATGATCATCAAGGTAATAGCCCTGATGCAAACCCCAGTGAGTATAGGGTATGGGGAGGTCTCCAGGAGATTGTATGAAGGCACCCAATCTAGAAAATTGCTCAACTAAAGCTGGCAATTAAGACAGGTTGAAAAAACTTAGCTAACATTTTATTGATACTGCAATGTCAGCAAGGCGACTAAAACTAAAATATATCATCAATTAGGGTGGCGGACCAATTGAACTCCCCTTTTAGATCAAATATAATCCAAGTTGAAGGACTTGTTACATTATATTATTACTAAGAACCCTTGGCACTATATAACTGCAAAATTTGGGGTATGTAGGTTGGAAAATAAAAAAGTTGTAGTGTCTTGAAAAAAAAGTGGCGTTTTTTTTTGGCCCACCCTGTATATATTATACAAGTATTATGCAATACAAAAGAACATTTTAAATAATGCATCTTGATTCACAAGGTTTCAGTTGTTTATACAAGACAAACATCAATGCAATAGCTTCTATAAATATAAAACTCATCTTAGGCGATATAATTATCATTTATAAGTGTGACTACTGGTGAAACATATTTTGACACTTTGGAGGTTTTGGGAAGATGTTCCCAATAACACACCACATAGTAACAGTACAGAAAAATAAACATATGCACCCAAGATAAGAAGATATGTTATTTACCACTTTGAAGTTGATGATGTAAATACACTGTAATGTGGAAATCATACATTGACTTTGAAAGGATTGTTTCCTCATGACCATGGTAACTTATAATGTAACCATAACAATGGGTTGTTTGGATAGACAATCAATATATATACCCAGAAAGAGAGTGTATCCTTGGAGATAAAACAGCTTTCTAATCCAGTATAATTACACTATAGAGTATCATTGACAACTTTGACAGACATCCAGAGAAAATAATCTTTTACAAAAGATTGCCTCGTCTCTTTCAATTTTTTAATATAAACTGTCTTAATTATGAAGGTGGCATTTATTGGCATTTATTGTAGGGTGGAGTTATTGTAGGGTGGAGTTATTGTAGGTATGGAGGTTATTTTAGATGTGGTAGATATTGTAGGTATGGTGATTATTGTAGGTGTGGTAGTTTTTAGAGATATGGAGGTTATTGTATGTGTGGAGGTTATTGTAGGTTTGGAAGACTTTGTAGGTATGGTAGTTTAATATAGTAGTTATTGGTACTCATTAAAGTTGTCAAGTTACATTGCAATACAATGTACAGTAGTTATTTTCTCACTGAATAGTTCAGAGTAATATATGGAATGCCTCTTTCTATCTGTCTGTCCATCTGAGGAATAACTCAAGGTATCCTCAACTGTGACTTGTCCACGATTAACTAAGATAAGAGAGATGAACAATAACGCAGATGCGAGTAGGTAGTTCCCAGTTTCACCACCAGGTGGCCCGTTCGGGTCAGATAACATGGCGGGTATAGTAGAAAGTTCCCTTAAACTTAAATTACATCTGTTTTAGTGGTTTAATTTTCATATAACCCTTATGTATCTAATAGTTATGCAAATCAAAATATGTCCAGTAAATGATAATGTTATCTGACCAATACAAGAAAAGATATTTCACTTTTTGTGATTTTGTAACATGGGCTCTATGGAGAATCAACCCGAACTAGAAGTCACAATTTCAAAAATAATTAAAGGAACATTCCTGGCCAAATCTTTTCTATCCTGATGTGATAGCTATAATCATATATATACTTTCCATATTTAGCAAAACATGGGGAAATGTTTTAATTTAGTCAATATTGATAATT